GGGACCTCTGCCCTCCGCTCCACTCTTCTGGAAACCTAAGAGTGCCTCAAAAACTAGTCTCAATTTCAACATTAAGAACTAAAAGAAAAACAAAAAACAAACACAAAAACTCCAGCTGAGCTTCCTTGCCGGCACCGCTCCCAGCCGCGGCTCGGGTGGTGCAGTGACCGCTCGCCAGCGGACGCCAGGGGACCCTGGAGCCCCGCGAGAGGGCCCGGGCTCGCGAGAACGGGCTGCGTGGCCCGAGCCCTCGTCGCCGGGCCTCGCCCGGCCGCCCTCGAGCCGCCTCCGCCCCGCCCGCGTCCTACCTTCCGAACGCCGAGGCAGGCCGGGCCGGAGCTGGGGCCAGGGCCGGAGCCTGGGCCGGGGGACCCGCGCCAGGGGCCACGACCTGGCGCTGCGCCTCCTCCCTGGCCGCCTCGGCCGGGAAGGCGGGCGGCGCGCCCAGCAGCTCCACATTGGTCACGGTCTTGCCGATGGTGAACCAGTCGTTGATCTGCTCGAGGGTGAGCTTGCGCAGCATCTTCGACGCCCGGACGCCGGCGCTCCTCAACCGCCGGGGCTCCGCAGCGGGAGCAGGCGACGGCCGGAACGCGCCCTGGAGGCCCCGCCCCCTCATGAGGCCTCCCAATCAGAACGCGCCGCGCGCCGGTGGAGGCGGGCTCCGGCCCGGCGCGTGCCGCCCGCGCTGCCTCGGCCTCGTGCCGCCGGCCCCGCCCCGCCGCGCGAGGCCTGCCGGGAGCCGCCGCCCTGGGCGAGTTCGGGGTGTGCCTTTTTAGCACGGCAGGGGAGGCTTGAGCCCCGCGGCTGGCCCGGGAGTGGCCCCTGCGTGTACAAAAAAATGGCCTCTGGGCATTCCCTGGCCTCCCCCTTTGGAGGCTGCTACCTCGTAGGTTTGTGCGCTTCGTGCGGACCGGGGCCCTACAGGCGTTTCTCGGGCACCTCAGTGTCGGGAGTTGGAAGGCAAACGGAGAAGGGCTTTCCGTTCGCGGGGCGGAGGCACCGGGGCGGCCTTGCACCTGGTGGGGGCGAGAGGGGCAAGAAGAAGGTCGGGAAGGTCTTGGAGAAAATGGCGCCGGGTGGGCGGACCCCTGCAGGATAACCGGGAGTGACCCAGGATGACAGGGGCGGCCGGGCGGCCCTGATGGCTGAGGGGACGGTCCGGGAGAATTCTGGGGAGCTGCGCCGTAACTGAACTCATCTTCCTGCCTAAACCCGCGTCTCGGGGGTCGGTGTCAGACACACAGCTGGACACACGCAGGTGCGGACAGGACGCCCAGGCGAGCACATGGACAGAAGATGCAGGCTGAGATGGCCCCTGCCGAGCGCTAGAAGAGTGAGGGTGGAGAACGGAGCCCTGGCAAACTCCCCGAAAGAAGGAGCAGACGGAAGAAATCCAGCAAAGGATCGCAGGAAGGCAGCCACGTGTGCAGGGGAAGGGAGGGTCAGAAGAGAGACGTGGTCGCCTGCCCGGGGTATATCCCAGGCAGGGTCTGTCTGGCCCGTGTGGGCTCCGGGAAGAGCCGTGTGAACAAATACAGAGGCAAGATCTAGAGCATGGCACTAATCAGCAGTGTGAAGCCTGAGCAGTGAAGAACTAGAAAATGCCCCGTGTAGTGGCAAGTAAGAGGCCGGTTTGAGAACAGTGTAGACAGCAGTCGGCCAGGTAGGTTGAGATATTGGTGTCTCAAAGAATGAACCCATAATCATACCAAGCCGGGAGTTCTGGACCTCATATTAGGACTTTGCCAAATACGACAGCTTCCAAAAAGTGCCTCAACACACTTTGCCAGGGAGAAATAACTTGTTTTTCCTTTTTTTTTTTTTTTAACCAGTACTTTTATTCCATTCACTGAATTATTGACATAAGATTGCTAATATTTTACTAACTATAGCTCATTTAACATTATAAAAAGTAACAGTAAACAAATTTATGGCTACAACATTTCTTGTAGTACTTATATATATGACATATAGTAGCTCTTTTTTTTTTCTTTCTTTTGAGGCAAGGTCTCACTCCTGTCGTCCAGCTGGAGTTCAGTGCTGCATTTGGGGCTCAGGTCATCCTCCCACCACAACTTCCCGCATAGCTAGGGCTACAGGCTCACACCACCACCACACCCAGCTAATTTTTTATATTTTTAGTAGAGACAGGTGTTTTGCTATGTTGCCCAGGCTGTTCTCAAACTCCTGGCCTCAAGCAATCTGTCTTCTTTGGCATCTCAAAGTGCTGAGACTACAGGTGTGAACCACCATGCCCAGCCTTGTTTTCCAAAAAATAAGAAAAAGTAATGATAAAGTAATTGACACTCATGGTATGTCATCCAGCACTGACTGGAAAATGGTGTAACTTCACACTGTATGTTAAGGCTAGGACATAATTCAAAACTTTACAAGATATATTGAAACCACTTGAAGCAACTCCAGAACTCACTACCACGTGTTTTTCTAGTATGTTGCTGTTCCCGTGTGCTATCATCCATTGTTGATGTCACAATGAATACGATTTTAAGTGGAAGGTGATTTTCAGAAACTTTGGGGGGGTGCATTTTCTATATTATTTGATCTTTTGGGGCTACTAGCTGATCCTCCTGTGTTTGTTTTTTTTTTTTTTTTTTTTTAAACTGCCATCTAAAGATACTCTCTTGATGCTGCTTCAGTTTGGAAGTTTGCCCATTTGGAAAGTTGCCATAGTGTTGTTTGTTTTGTTTTGTTTTGTTTGTTTGTTTTGAGATGGAGTTTCGCTCTTGTTACCCAGGCTGGAGTGCAATGGCGCAATCTTGGCTCACCGCAACCTCCGGCTCCTGTGTTCAAGCAATTCTCCTGCCTCAGTCTCCCATGTAGCTGGGAGTACAGTCACTCGCCACCATGCCCAGCTAATTTTTGTACTTTTAGTAGAGACAGGGTTTCACCATGTTGACCAGGATGGTCTCGAGCTCTTGACCTCGTGATCCACCCGCCTCAGCCTCCCAAAGTGCTGGGATTATAGGCGTGAGCCACTGTGCCCAGCTGCCATAGTGTTTTTTGACCAAACACTAGTTAATGTTCTGACCAGACACTAGTTAACTATTGACCATTATGAAAAACATTCGGAATCGTCACAGACTGAATGGCTTTGAGCGCCCTTCATTTGATTCAGTAGTTCTCGGTGCTCCCTGTTCATTTGGTCAAGTTCATCTTGCATTCCTGTCTAAAGTTCAGAGTTAAACTTGACATCAGGCAGGTCTTCATGGATTTGTCACATCTAGACCAGAACACATGGGAAGGCCACTGAACCCCTAGTGGGCCTTGGTATTTTGGGAAGGTTTTGCATATTTGCATTCACTAAGCTGTCCACCAAAAAGGGAAAACTTGACAGCTGAGAGCAGTTAGAAACGGTGTTGGTGCCATTAAGCAGCACTCTCCTTAAAGCAGAAGCTGTGCTCAAAGTATCTTGCTGTCTTCTCCAGCCTTTCTAGCCACAAAATGCAGCATTTTGCACTTTGAATAAATCTGCTGGAGTGGCCCTTTCCTTAAACATTTTGGGTTTCTGTGTCTGTGTGTTTTTTTAAGATGTGCATTTCTTAGGATGTTTTGGATTTGAAACTAAAGACATTAAAACTCTTGGGCCAGGCACAGTGGCTCACACCTGTAATCCCACTTTAAGAGGCCAAGGTGGGAGGCTCACTTGAGGCCAGCAGTTCAAGACCAGCCTGGCCAACATAGCAAAGGCTGTTGATCTCAAGTCTAGTTTGAAGTTCAGAAGCTCTGTCTTGAAACAGCTCTCCCTGATGTTCTTCCTAAAGTTGTTCCTAAACGCTTGTTCTTGTCCTCAGCAGTTTTATAAGTCATTTTAAGTCTAAAACATTTTTAGTGTAGGACAGTGATTCCCAAACCTGGTCTGGTCTCAGGACCCCTTTACACTCTTAAAAGTTACTGAGGACCCTAAAGAGATTTTGTTTATGTGGGTTATGTCTACTTTATTAGGGATTACAACTGAGAAACGTTTTTATTCATTTTAAAATAATAATAGGCCGGGCGCGGTGGCTCACGCCTGTAATCCCAGCACTTTGGGAGGCCGAGGCGGGTGGATCACGAGGTCAAGAGATCGAGACCATCCTGGTCAACATGGTGAAACCCCGTCTCTACTAAAAATACAAAAAATTAGCTGGGCATGGTGGCGCATGCCTGTAATCCCAGCTACTCAGGAGGCTGAGGCAGGAGAATTGCCTGAACCCAGGAGGCGGAGGTTACGGTGAGCCGAGATCGCGCCATTGCACTCCAGCCTGGGTAACAAGAGCGAAACTCCGTCTCAAAAAAAAAAAAAAAAGTAAAATAATAATAAACCCATTTGATGTTAAAGAGCGTATTTCTGTAAAACATCACTATAATTTCCAAAAAAAATTTTGTATCTGTGAGAGGAGTGACACTTTTACATTTTCAAAGATCTCTTAGTGTCTAGTTGCATGAGAAACAGCTGGATTCTCAAATCTATTTCTGTAGTCATTCTGATGTAATATCACAAGTCATATGACCTCTAGAAAACTCCACTGTACACTTGTGAGAGAATCCTAGCAAAAAAGACAAAGCCAGGTGCAGTGGCTCACACCTATAATCCCAGCACTTTGGGAGGCCAAGGCGGGTGTGTCACTTGAACTCAGAAATTCAAGACCACCCTGGGCAACGTGGCGAAACCCTATCTCTACCAAAAATACAAAAATTAACCAGGCATGCTGGCACGAGCCTGTAGTACCAGCCACTCGGAAGGCTGGGGTGGGAGAATCACTTGAACTGAGGAGTGGAGTGCAGTGAGTGGAGATTGTGTCATTACACTCCAGCCTGGGTAATGGTGAAACCTTGTCTTAAGAAAGAAAGGAGGGAGGGAGGGAGGGAGGGGCAAAGACTATTGACCATTATGAAGAAGGTAGTTTTTACTCACATTTGAAGAACTGCCAGAGCAAGTTTGCAAGCTTTCCGTGCAGTTTCTTTGATCCTAAGCTCTTTTCCCTTCAAGCAGAACCATGTTCATTCTTCATTCCTTCTGCACCCTCATCCTTCCATCTGTGAACATTTTAGGACCTTCCAGATTTATTAAGCTAAGGGGAAATGTTAAGCCCTGGTAACTGAGGCAGGTAGCATGGCTATTTTTCTTCTCTAGTGCATGACATTTGCTTTCTGACCTTTGTGTTGAGATGTTACACATTAACCATTCTCCCTATTCTTCATTCAAACCTAGGCTAAGTGACATTGGCAATAGAGAACCCTGGGAACTGTTACCTCTCCATAGCAGAAGTTAAGTAGTTCCCCTTAGACTGTGATCAGTAGTTGTCAAGTCTTCTATTTATGTTAGCCTTTGTATGGAAAATGTAACTCAGTTTTCAGCACCTGCTTTTGCCTGTATGAATGATCCTTTTTCCCACATCAAGAGCCCTGATCACCATTCTTTGGTGTTCACTTGTATCCAGACACCCTCACACTTTGTGCTTGAATAAATTATTTTGGAGAGAGATCTAAGATGGCTGATCACTAGCAGCTCGGGATTGTAGCTCCCAGTGAAAGCACAGAGAACGAGAGGACGCCACAATTTCAGACGAATTTTTGTTGCTCACGGACAAGGAGATTCCCAGCGGAGGAGCCCCACGGGTCGCCAGCACGACTCTTGTGGGCCGCGTGGCGGTTTTGCCAGCGCCTCGGTGCGGCGCTTCTTGGTGCAGAGTCAGAAAAGCACCATCAATCTTAACACCACTGCTTTAGCCGGCACAGTGGGTTGCTCAGATTTTAGCGCTGGGAATCAACAAGTTGGAAGTCCACTCAGAAACCTAATTAGAAAGTCGGTAATTACAAAGACAACAGATGGATAAATTTATAATGAAGGGAAGAAACCAGCCTAAAAAGGCTGAGAATACCCAAAATCAGAATGCCTCTCTCTCTACAGGGGATCACAGTTCCTCATCAGCAACAGAACAAGGCCTGATGGAGAACGAGTGTGTTCCATTAGCAGAGCAGGCTTCAAAAGGTGGTTGATAAGAAACTTCTGTGAGTTAAAAGAACTTGTTCTAACCCAATGCAAAGAAACTAAGAACGTTGAAAAAAGGTTTGACGAAATGCTAACGAGAATAGACAGAGAGGAATATAAGTGAATTAATGGAGCTGAAAAACAAAACGAGAACTTCGCAAAGTATGCACAAGTTTTAACAGCCGAATTGATCAAGCAGAAGAAAGGATATCAGAGGTCGAAGACCAACTTAATGAAATAAAACGAGAAGACAAGATTAGGGAAAAAAGGATAAAAAGGAACGAGCAAAGTCTCCAAGAAATATGGGACTATGTGAAAAGTCCTAATCTGCGTTTGATAGGTGTACCTGAATGTGACGAAGAGAATCAATCCAAGCTAGAAAATACGCTTCAGGATATTATTCAGGAAAACTTTCCCAACCTAGCAAGTCAGGACATATTCAACTCCAGGTAATACAGAGAACACCACAAAGATATTCCTCAAGAAGACCAACCTCAAGGCACATAATCATCAGATTCACCAGGGTTGAAATGAAAGAGAAAATATTAAGGGCAGCTAGAGAGAAAGGTCAGGTTACCCACAAAGGGAAGCCTATCAGACTTACAGCAGATCTCTCAGCAGAAACCCTACAAGCCAGAAGAGAGTGGGGGCCAATATTCAACATCCTTAAAGAAAAGAGCTTGCAACCCAGAATTTTACATCCAGCCAAACTAAGTTTCAAAAGCGAAGGAAAAATAAAATCTTTTATGAACAAGCCAAGCACTCAGAGATTTCATCACCACCAGGCCTGCTTTACAAGAGCTTCTGAAAGAACCACTACACATAGAAAGGAACAACCAGTATCAGCCTTTCCAAAAATATACCAAAAAGTAAAGAGCATCAACATAATGAAGAATTTACATCAACTAATGGGCAAAACAGCCAGCTAACATCAAATGGCAGTATTAAACTCACATATATTATTAATCCTAAATTTAAATCGACTAAATCCCCCAATCAAAAGACACAGCCAAAACCCATTGGTATGCTGCATCCAGACTCATATGCAAGGATACACAAAGACTCAACGGGATGGAGAAAGATTTACCAACCAAATGGAAAGCAAAAATAAATAAATAAAAAGCAGGAGTTGCAATTCTCGCCTCTGGTAAAATAGACTTTAAAGCAACAAAGATCAAAAGAGGCAAAGAAGGACATTACATAACGGTAAAATGATCAATGCAACAAGAAGAGCTAACGATCCTGAATATATACGCACCCAATACAGGAACACCCAGATACATAAGACTTATAAAGAGACTTAAACTCCCCCAAAATAATAGTGGGAGACTTCAACATCAATATTAGACAGATCAATGAGACAGAAAATTAACAAGGATATCCAGGACTTGAACTCGGATTTGGAACAAGTAAACTTAATAAACATTTATGGGACTCTCCACTTTAAATACACAAAATATACACTCTTATCAGCACCACATCACACTTACTTACAGGTTTAAATGAAATATTGATTGGCTGCTTGTTTGTTATTTTCTTCCCTCATTTTTTTCCTGTCTCCATTATTAAGCACAAGTATTGGTATAAAAGAGGTTTTCAATACCCATTTTTAGACTGCATTCTAGCCTGGGCATTAAAGCAACACTTCCATTCTCTCTCCCTCTTCCTCTTCCTCTTTCTTCCTCTCATTCATTCTTTTTTTTTTTTTTTTTTTTTTTTTAAAAAGAGAACTCTAAAAAAAAAAAAAGAAATTATTTTACTGGATCCTGGCTGGGTGTGGTGTCTCACACCTATAATCCCAGCACTTTGGGAGGCCGAGGCTGGTGGATCATGAGGTCAGGAATTCAAGACCAGCCTGGCCAGCAGGGTGAAACCCCATCTCTGCTAAAAATACAAAAATTAGCCAGGTGTGGTGGTGCACCTGTAAACCCAGCTATTCTGGAGGCTGAGACAAGAGAATCGCTTGAACCTGGGAGGTAGAGGTTGCAGTAAGCTGAGATCACACCGCTGTACTCTAGCCTGGGCAACAGAGCAAGACTCAGTCTCAGGGGAAAAAAATAAACTATTTTAATTGGATCCTGAACCTTTTTATTATTTTAACTTGACACATCTGAGCTCATTTTCACTGTGCCTGAATAATGAACATTTATTTTACTGTGGATCTGCTCGTGATTTTTTCAGTCCTAGCTACACCATTTTATAAACCCCCCACCATTTCACAGACCCTAGTCAGTGATACATTCCTTGGGGACTCCAACCGTGAGAAACATCCTGCCCAAGTGCCTGACTGCAGGAACAGCCTTATCACATCCTGCCAGGCAGCAAGCCATACTGTCCAGACCCTCCAGCCCAGACCTATAATTGCCCCAGCCTCTAAGCAGCAGTGGGCTCTGGCACTAAGCTGGTTCCCCCCTCCACAGGGTTTTGCTGGCAATAAACCTGTGTTGCTGTTGAAGCCACCAACTAACTCTCTCTCTCTCTCTCTCTCTCTCTCTCTCGCTCTCTCGCTCTCTGTTTGTCTCTTTGTCTGTCTTTAACCTTCGCCTTCCCTTCAAAACCTAACAATTTCCTCTTTTTTTTTCTTTAGAGATGAGATCTTAGTATATTGCCCAGGCTGGTCACGAAATGCTGGGCTCAAGCAGTCCTCCCAAAGTGTTGGGATTGCAAGGGTAAGACACCATGCCCAGCACAATTTCCTCATTCATGGTTTGTCCTAAACTATAGTTTACCTTCTTTCCTGAATGCCAGTCTCCTTGTGTATACAATTCTTGGTTGGCAGTTATTTTCTTTGAGATTTTATCTTTACCTTTTTATTGTGAGATTTCAATGTATTGATTTATTTTTATTTATCTGCCTGCTTGGTTTCTGGAAGGCTTTTGGAATCTTTGGCATGATGTTTTTCTCATCACTTTTGGAAAATTCTCAGCCATTAGTTCTTCAAATATTTCTTCCCCACCTCTTTTACTTCCTTCTAAGACACCAGTTACCTATATGATGGCGTTTCCTGCTGTATCTTCTTATTTTCTGAATGGCTTCTTCTATCTTGCAGCTCAGTAATTCTTCAACTGTCTAATCCGCCAAACTCATTTAATTTTTTTTGTTTTGTTTGATTGTTTGAAACAGAATCTCACTCTGTCACCCAAGCTGGAATACAGTGGCACCATCTTGGCTCACTACAACCTCTGCCTCCCAGGTTCAAGCGATTCTCCTGCCCCAGTTTCCCAAGTAGTTAGGATTACAGGTGCCCACCACCGTGCCTGGCTAATTTTTGTATTTTTAGTAGAGATGGGGTTTCGCCATACTGGTCAGGCTGGTCTCAAACCTATGACCTCAGGTGATCTGCCTGCTAAATTGTTTTATGATTTCTAGTTCTCTACTGGAAAACATTTCTGGAAAAAAAAATTCTGTTTTTTTTAAAGACTATTAAGTCGTGTCTGGAGCCCCTGTGGAAGTTTTATATTATCTGTTAAGAAGAATATGCACAGAATACAGATATAAAAATATGCAGAGCAGGCCGGGCGCGGTGGCTCACGTCTTTTATCGCGGCACTTTGGGAGGCTGAGGCAGGTGGATCACCTGAGGTCAGGAGTTCAAAACCAGCTTGGCCAACATGGTGAAACCCAGTTTCTACTAACAATACAAAAATTAGCCCAGTGTAGTGACGGGCATCTGTAATCCCAGCTACTCAGGAGGCTGAGGGACGAGAATCGCTTGAACCCAGGAGGCAGAGGTTGCAGTGAGCTGAGATCACGCCACTGCACTGCAGCCTGGACGACAGAGTGAGATTCCGTCTCAAAATGTGTGTGTGTCTCTATGTGTGTCTATGTGTGTACATATATGTATATGTATGTGTGTATATATATTATACATGCAGAGCCAAACAACAACACAAAGGATCAAAACACACCACTAAAATGGGAGACTTGGCTTACTTTAACATAACAGTAAAAAAGGTCCCTTTTCTTAGGCTAACCAGCTCTCCCGGTTTGTCTAGAACTTTCCCGGTTTCCGCGTTGAAAGTCCCACGTCCCAGGAAACCCATCAGTCGTGGCAAGATGTGGAGGGTTAGCCACCCTGCGTGACACACGCGGCACACCCCCAACGCACCCTCTCCCCGTCCCTTCTTGCCTGCGGCACCAGGGCGACCGCCGGGGGCGCTGTGGTGCACCGTCGCGGCCGGGGGAGGCACTCTGGCCTTGCGGCGTCGCTGCTGCTTCCGCCTTCCCGGCAGCCCCTGCTCGGCGACCTTTCTCAGTTGGGTGCGGATTTGTGGTGCCCCCTGAGCTGTCTTTGCTGCGCCAAGGTGAGTGCGGGGACCTGGCCCTGGCCCCCGAGGTGCGAGACGGCGGGGGCGGGAGGGCGAGAAGCTGCCTTGGCCTCCGCTGACCTTGGGATCCCACCCGTCCGCCGGCACGCGCCAGCCTTTCCGCCCTGCCTCCCCTTCTCTAAAGGGAAGGAGGCCTGGGTCGGCTGCCGGAGGAAAGCATCGCCCGGCCCGCGCCGCGCTGGGTGCCCCTGTGTTCTCGCCTGCTTTTGATAGCGTACCCTGGCCTTGAGAGGTTCAGCTGCCCAACCTAGAGGCCACGCAGGCAGAGAAGCCAGAGTCCAGGCCAAGAACTCTGACTCCACGTCCAGTGCCTTCTCTCCGTTATAACTCAGGTTTCCTTGCACCACACCTGTCCTCCACGTTATGTTGTAGACGAGAAGGACTTGGGTGAGGCGGCAGGGAAACTGAAACGAGATCGTATGTTGATGATTGAAACTGTATGGAACTCGCGGGTCAGACGTTTCGCGTTTCCAGTGTAAGGTCAGGTAATAGTTTGCCCTTAATGTAATGTGCCAGAACTTTGCAGGTTTAGATGGATACAATAGACACCCGTTTGACCTATGAATAGGATGGAGTTTTAAAAGATCTGATGCTGTAAAACTGACAGAGCTAGGAAATATGCCTGGACAGAATGGACTCAGGTGGAGACAGGCGGGGCCCTCATTTTATTCCGTATTGGGAACATGTCACTTGTCCAGGCAAATATGGCAACTAAAGTCAAAGGGAAGGAGGGGGAAAGGTAGTCTACTGTATAGCAGGGCCCCTGTTGTATTGGGGACCAAGGGTAACTTTGTAAGGAGACCATACCAGGATGCCTGGGCCCTGAGCAAAATGTCAGGATGACTCAGTTTCTTTAGTTCCTTCTCTTTTTTTTCTCTTTTTTTTTTTTTTTGAGACGGAGTCTTGCTCTGTCTCCAGGCTGGAGTGCGGCGGCACAATCTTGGCTCACTGCAACCTCCGCTTCCCTGGTTCAAGCGATTCCCCTGCCTCAGCCTCCCAAGTAGCTGGGACTACAGTCTCACGCCAGCATGCCCAGCTAATTTTTTTGTATTTTAGTAGTGACCGGGGTTTCACCATGGCCAGGATGGTCTCCATCTCCTGACCTCGTGATCCACCCTCCTCGGTCCCCCAAAGTGCCTGGGATTACAGGTGTGAACCACCGTGCCCGGCCAACTTTTTTTTTTTTTTTTTTTTTTTTTTTTTTTTTTTTGAGACGGAGTCTCACTCTGTCGCCAGGCTGGAGTGCAATGGCACGATCTCAGCTCACTGCAGCCTCCGCCTCGCGGGTTCAAGTGATTCTCCTGTCTCAGCCTCCCAAGTAGCTGGGATTGCAGGTACACGCCACCACGCCCAGCTAATTTTTGTATTTTTAGTAGAGGTAGAGTTTCACCATGTTGGCCAGGGTGGTCTCGATCTCTCGACCTGGTGATTCGCCCACCTCAGCCTCCCAAAGCGCTGGGATTACAGGTGTGAGCCACTGCACCCAGCCTCTTTAGTCCCTTCTTACCGTAGCCATCGCACTCTCCCAGTTTACTTTGCCCTTTTCCTTCTAGACCCTCATCTGACCTTGCTCTGTCCAAAGCCCCTCCCTGGCCTAAATGAGGGCATCTTAAGTCTTCCTTGTGTTAGAATCTCAGTGGCTTAGTGTTAATTATAGCCATCAACTATATATTTATAGCAATTCTGTTACTGCTGTGATCATTCACTGAATTTTTTGAGAGAGAATCTCGATTTGTTGCCCAGGCTGTAGTGCAGGGGTGCAGTGGCGTGATCTCTGCTCACTGCAACCTCCGCCTCCTGGGTTCAAGCGATTCTCCTGTCTCAGCCTCCCCAGTAACTGAAATTACAGACACACACCACCACGCCCAGGTAATGTTTGTATTTTTAGTAGAGATGATATTTCACCATGTTGTCCAGGCTGGTCTCGAACTCCTGACCTCAAGAGACCTGCCTGCCTCAGCCTCCCAAAATGCTGGAATTACAGGCAGGAGCCACCATGCCCAGTCCGTTTTGTTTTCTGAATTTTTTTTTTTTTTTTTTTTTTTTTTTTTGAGACAGAGTCGTGCTCCATTTGGAGTGCAGTGGCATGATCTCAGCTCACTGCAACCTCTGTCTCCCAGGTTCAAGCAATGCCCCTGCCTCAACCTCCTGAGTAACTGGCACACACCACCACACCTGGCTAATTTTTTGTATTTTAGTAGAGCCGGGGTTTCACCATAGCCGGGATGGTCTCGATATAATGACCTCATGATCTGCCTGCCTCGGCCTCCCAAAGTGCTGGGATTACAGGCGTGAGCCACCGTGCCTGGCCCATTCTCTGAATTTTTATTCCATACTAGGCGCTAGGCTGGGTCCATTAGGTTCCTCCTTGAATTGCATTGAGAGCCCTGTGGAGACAAGTGGAGGTATCCATGTTTCACGGAATAGGAAACCTCCGAAATAATGGCGAAAGGGACTTGGCCCACAGTTGAGAGCTGCGCAGGCAGAGCTGATGTTGGAGCCCAGGATTCCCAAGCTTCCAAACCCACTGGTCCTGTACGGTGCCTCCTTCCTAGTCGTTGCCGAGAGATGAGGGATTCACTCCATGCCTCTGAACTCTTCTAGTGTGGGGCCTCCAGAAACCTCCTCTGGGTTTTGTTTGGATCATCTGTGGCACATTCTCAAAGCAGGGCTCTTGGTTTCTTGGAAACTCACAATTTATCAGAGCATTCGAGGACAGTTTAAGGACAGGAAATTTGAGGACGGACATATCTGCAAGGTGTTCCAGGAGAAGGACACAGTCACATCCTGCAAGGTCACACCTTGGGCCAGTCTTCACCACTGTCCTTGCCTAAATAAGTCCGCTCATAGGGAAGGGCAGGAAAGTGGTGTTGGAGGCAGGTCCTCATCATCGGAGCATGGCATACAGACTCGGTGTGGGCAGTCCTGCCAACCTCCTACAGGATTGTGGGCGGCTTTCTCCAAGTGCCCACTTTATAGGGGTGGGAAGCAGTGTAGGAAATAAGTATGTAGAACACTTTAAAATGCTGTTAAAGAGCCAGGCACAGTGGCTCATGCCTATAATCCCAGCATTTTGAGAGGCCAAGGCGGGCGGATCATCTGAGGTCGGGAGTTCGAGACCAGCCTGACTAACATGAAGAAACCCCATCTCTACTAAAAATACAAAATTAGCCAGGCATGGTGGCACATGCCTGTAATCCCAGCTACTCAGGAGGCTGAAGTAGGAGAATTCCTTGAATCCGGGAGGCAGAGGTTGCAGTGAGCCAAGATTGCACCATTGCACTCCAGCCAGCGCAACAAGAGTGAAACTCTGTCTAAAAAAAAAAAATGGCCAGGTGTGGTGGCTCATGCCTGTAATCCTAGTACTTTGGGAAGCCGAGGTGGGTGGATCGCCTGAGGTCAGGAGTTCGTGCTAGCCTGATCAACATAGTGAAACCCCGTCACTACTAAAAATACAAAAAATTATCTGGGCGTGGTGGTGGGCACCTGTAATCCCAGCTGCTTGGGAGGCTGAGGCAGGAGAATCACTTGAACCCCAGAAGCGGAGGAGGTTGCAGTGAGCTGAGGTCATGCCCTTGCAATCCAGCCTGAGCAACAAGAACAAGATTCCGTCTCAAAAAAAAAAAAAAAAAAAAAGTGTGAGTGCAGAACAGGCCTAGCACAGGCAAGGCTCCCTGTTGGGTAATTGTGGGAAATAGGGTTGAACTTAACAAATTAAAATCTCTTACCAGTTAGCTTTAGAACAATAATCATTTTAATTTCTAATCCCTGTGTTCATTTTCAGATGCTTCAAAATTTTATTAAAAATATGTGGCTCCCCTTGAAACCCTACTATACTGAAGTTTACCAGGAGATTTGGGTAGGAATGGGGCTGATGGGCTTCATCTTTTATAAACTCCATGCCGCCGGTACGTTTCTTTATGTTTGATTTTTTTTGGGGTCAGGAAGAAAAGTATTTTCAAAAAGAATTACAATTCACATTGTAAAGGAACTATGGGTCTTAACTAGGTATGAACATCAGAACTATCTGCAGTCCTTTGTAAAAACACAGGGAGCACGTGTCAGCTGTAAAAGACTTTTGGGGACAATGGGAATTTTTTTACCTCTTTTTTTTTTTTTTTGAAACAGTCTCACTCCAGTGCCCAGGCTGGAATGCAATGGCACAGTCATGGCTCACTGCAACCGCAACCTCCTGGGCTCAGGTGGTTCTCCCACCTCAGCCTCCCAACTATTTGGGACCACAGGCACCTGTCACTACCTAACACCACCACACCTGGCAAACTTTTTTTTGTACTTTTTTTGTTTTGTTTTGTTTTTTTGTTTGTTTGTTTTGTTTTTTTGGTAGCGATGAGGTTTTGCCATGTTGCCCAGGCTGGTCTGAAACTCGTGGGCTCAAACAATCCTCCAGTCTTGGCTTCCCAAAGTGCTGGAATTACAAGCGTGAGTCACAACACCTGGGCCAATTGGGGAAATTTGAACAAGACTTTAATATCAGAGAATTGTGAGTTTTCTTAGGTGTGAAACTGGTATTCGTTTTAAGAGATGAAGGCTTAAATATCTAAGGTATGGTTTCATGGTATGTGGTATTTCATTGCACCCTTTCAACTGTTCTGAATATTTGAAATTTGTGTGTAATAAAATTCAGAAGGGAGGAAGAACCACTTGGTTCTCAGTAGCACAGAGCAGTGCGGCCCAATCACATGTAACTAAGCCATTGATTACAAAGATGAAAGAAAGAAAACTTGATGCTGCAAGACTGGCGTTTAGGACATTGTAGAGGGTAAGGAGCCCTGCAACTTTGAAAGGGCTCTTAGCTGTTCCTAGAACATCTTTGGTAGGAATTTTACCATTTCTTGGCTATGAGACATACTTTCTGAAAGCTTCCTATAATTGCTTTACCTAAGCTATGATGCCTTCAGCTAAATGTTAGTTTTGACAAAGGTATTTTTGTGAAGCATTGATATGACTGATTTTTTTCCTTCCTTTTATTTTAGATAAAAGAAAGAAGGCTGCGAAAGGTAAGTTTTTGCTTCTTAAAATGGTTGGGAATGGAAAACCCCATGTCTTTTCAGGACAAGGTATATCATTGTTCTGAATTGAAATTGATACATGGTTCAGTAAACATGTAAGATGCAGTCGAAATGCTTCACAACTTGAAGTTTGCTATGCATGCTGGAAAAAAGAATTCTGAATTTCTGCTTTTTTTAATGCCTGAAGGATAAGAATTTCTGTTTTTTATAGTCAGGTGGATCAAGTAAAACTTCCGGGAGTAATAGAGGAATGAATTGTTAACTAGAGGTAGTCAACATCACCAGCAGGGAAGCACGAGTGAGCCGTGCCAGTGTGCTGTCCTAGAAGTTCCCTCCTTAACTGCAACCTCTGCCTTCTGGGTTCAAGCGATTCCCCTGCCTCAGCCTCCCAAGTAGCTGGGATTACAGGCATCCACCACCATACCCGGCTAATTTTTGTATTTTTAATTGAGATGGGGTTTCACCATGTTGGCCAGGCTGGTCTCGAACTCCTGACCTCAGGTGATCGCCTTGGCCTCCCATAGTACTGGGATTACAGGTGTGACCGCACCTGGCCTTTAATGTATTTTGAAAGAAAGCATCTTAGAAATTTATGCCCTAGTGCCAATGAAACTGTAGCCATTTGAGTGTTGCACAAACCCAGGACTGGCTACCTGAGTTTGAGGAAGAGGTGTTTCCCTGCCCTGTCTTCTTAGTGCTGTGGGTGGCTGCCGGTCTGCTGTCATTACGTGAACCCTTAGGCACACTGGGTGTTCCATATAGAAATAATCCTACTTTTTAATACTATTGCAAGGTGTCATCTGTACTTTTGGACTGTTAATCAACTTTTTTTGATACTTGTATAATAAATTACATCCTACTTGTTCCTTCCTTCTTAAATTGTATTTATGTATGCATCTCTTTCAAAAGCTGCAGCGTCTGCTCATGATCATCATTAACCAGCTTACTTGGAGTACCTGTGAAAGAAAACATCAGTCTGCCTGTAAATTTGAGCAAGCCGTGTTAGATGGGGCACGTGGACCATCACTGTACACTTGTATGAGTACCATTTACTTCATGGCATGAATAAATGGATCTGTGAGATGCTCTGCTACCTGGTACTGCTTTCACTGCGTTCCCCCGCCCAGCCCCTCCAGTGTGCCAGGCATACTCTTTGTAGATCATTTGTCATGCAGCAGATGCAGTCAGAGTCTCACTGAGCCACCCGTCATTATAAAATCATTATCTCAGTTGTCACAGGAGCTGGTGATCAGGATCCAGGCACTGCTCAATAAACATGTATTAAACTTGATCCTGCTACTTGTGACCTCTCTGAGTCTCTGTTTTCTTATTTGGAAAATGGAGATGTTAATTATGTAAGCGCTAACTTACAGTTAGGAGGATAAATAAGAGAAAGATTTAAACTATGAAATGTTTTAGAAATAAGGTAGCATTCGATGACATAGTTGAAATTATGAGCTCTAGGAAAAAAATGCATCAGGAAATAATCATCACAAGGCAAAGTACATAATAAGGCCAGTTGAAAAAAATAAAGCCAATTGATTCTAGTTAGGCTAAAATCAAACGCATACTGCATAATGTTTATCTCCATCTAAGACAATTACCACGATCCGTAAAACTGTGTGCTAAAAAGATTCTGAAGCAGCAAGCATGGGGGTAAAGGTGGGTTCGGTTTTCAGTCTGGCACTCGCGGGTGGGCAGGGGAACAGCTGTGGAATGGGGATGATGGCTGCACCCTGGGTGTCCTGTCCTCCTGAGACCATCCTGTTTCTCATCTGTGTGGCATTTGACGTCGTTAGGTCTGGCCCATGGTAGGTGCCCAGCAGATGACTGGGATCTCTGAGCCTCAGTTGCTTTCATAAGACAACCAAAACCTGCCATGTCTTTCTCCAACAGCCTCAGCATTGTTGGACTGTGAGAAGTGTGCAGGAAAGCATTACACAGCATCAGTGGCAGTCAGCGTCAGGTCCTGTGAGATTCAGAGGGTTTGGTTCTAACACAGGAATCGCATTCTTCCTGCTAACGCATTTGGTTCTCTTCTGCCTCCAGAAAATGAATCTGCTATGTTTCAGAAAGTCCCTGCCTTTAAAATTATCCATCTGCCCAGCTGTTCAGGCTTGAGGGTGCATTAGAATCACCTGGAAGGCCATGCTGCAGCCGGCTGGGCCCCGGTGCTTCTGACTGCACTGCTCTAGGAAGGAGCCTGAGAACTCGTATGTCTAACAGCCGTCCAGGACATGTGGATACCAGGAACCCCGCTGGAGAATTTCTGACACAAAGAGCCCAGGCCTGCCCTACCACAGCCCTCGTACCCTCGGCCCCAGGCTCCAGCCCTGTGTCACAAGTCTTAGCACATTTAGTCCACCTTAGTGAGGCATCAGTACAGGCCTTGACTTTCAGAACAGAAAACAGGCTGAGAGGCAGAAACACGCCAAAGATGTTGCAATTAGCAAGCACTGGGGCTGGGGCTTGCACCCCAGGAGCCTGCAGTCTCGTTCAGAGGGAGGTGAGGACAGGCAGGAGCAGATGATGTGTCTGACCTGGAAGGGCTCCCCCACAAAGGCTGGGCCGTTCCTCTTCTCCCTTTACCACTTAAGGGTTCCTTTGACAAATTACCAGGGTAGGCTGGGCACGGTGGCTCACACCTGCACTTTGGGAGGCTGAGGCAGGCAGGAGTTTGAGATCAGCCTGGGCAACATGGTGAAACCCCATCTCTACAAAAAATACAAAAATTAGCCAGACAGGGTGGTGTGCGCCTGTAATCCAGCTGCTGGGGAGGCTGATGCAGGAGGATTGCTTGAGCTTAGGAGGTCAAGACTGCATTCCAGCATGAGCAACAAAGCAAGACCGTCTCAAAAAGGAAAAAAAAAAAGAATTGTATTTGCTATCCCAGAACCCACTTACACACTGAATCCTCAGGGTTTTGGAAACAACCAGGTCTTATCCGAAAGGCAGCCTGTAGGTGGAGCCAGAGGATGTCACCTGGGCTTCCCTATGGGCATGGAGCACGGGGCCCCAGGGACCTGTTTAAAGGAGCATTTGGGGGCAGTGCCAGTGGGTAAGAGGTATGCACAGTGAGCCCCGGGAGCGCACAGGGGACAGCCACTTCAGGAAGGAATCCCAGAGGCTTCTTATCCCAAAGCCTCCACATTCTCCTCTGACTTAATGCAGTGCTTTCCAAAGTGTACTACAGAGTAGCCCCCAAGGCTGGGAGGAGAGAATGTGGCTCCCAGCAGCTGAAGGTGTCATTGTAAACCCTGTGCTCTCCTTAAGTGAGCCTCTCGGGGAGGCATGGTGTTTCTTCCTGCTTGTCACCGTGTATCCCAGGAGTGCACACACCCCAGCCGGAGGCTTCAGAGGGTGTGCTTCCTGCCATCCTTAACGGGGTGTGTCTCTGTAGAGGTACCAGATAAAGAGTTTTGGGGTACCAGGCTGGGCTCTGCTTCATATTTATCTGCACAGTATTCTGTGAGCTCATGCCATCACCCCACTTCGCAGATGAAGAAATGGAGGCCCAGACAGGATAAGTAGTTTGTATTAGAGGATAACTACCTGGTTAACAAACCAACTAGTTAACTGGTAGACCAGGGTTGAAAACCTGACCCACTTCAGAATCGGGACTGGGACTACAGCCCGGCTGCGGACAGCTCCTCCCCCTGTGCTGGGCGTGCATCACCGTCGGGGGTGCAGTGGTGGTTAGCGCAGATTCCTTCACTCCCTGAACACAGAGTCTACAGAGCGGACCTGCAAACACACAGTGCCATGCTTGGCAGGCACAGGACTGAACGTCTGTGCTGTTGGGAACCGCCTGACGGGTGCCGTCATCCTGCCTCGCTGCACACGGGCCGGCGGGGAAGCCCAGCATCTGCTCAACAGCCTCTGAGCATGGCCCTGGCCTCCATCCTTCAGACAAACCAGCCACCTGGAGGCATTGCTGGCACATACAGGGAAACTTGAACATGGGCTGGGCATTAAGTAATGTTGAATTGTTAATTTTATTAGGTGATCATCACCGATGGTATCGCAGTTATTAAAGAAAATGTCTTTGGTTTTAGAAATGCAAGTGCAGGCCGAGCGTGGTGGCTCACGCCTGTAATCCCAGCACTTTGGGAGGCCGAGGTGGGTGGATCACCTGAGGTCAGGGGTTCAAGACCAGCCTGGCCAACATGGCAAAACCCTGTCTCTACTAAAAATACAAAAACTAACCGGACGTGGTGGCATACACCTGTAATCTCAGCTGCTCGGGATGCTGAAGCATGAGAATCGCTTGAACGCAGGAGGCAGAGGGTTGCAGTGAGCTGAGATAGCACCATTGCACTCTAGTCTGGGCAGCAGAGAGAGACTCCATCTCAAAGAAAGAAAACAAAAGTTGAATAATTAAAAAACCAAATTTGAGCATTTGGTATTTGGGTGTCTCAGAAGCCATCAAAAGAAGAGCCAAAGGTTTAGGCAGCTCAGAGTTCCAGGAGTGAACCTCAGCCTTGGCATTACCAGCTCAAGCCAGTTAACCAATGCTGAAGTTACTAAGCTGACACAGAGCCAGAATTGCCCAGGTGTGCACAATGGGAGACGCTTCCACCTTCTCGTCCTTCCCAGAAACCTGGCCAGCCACCTACGCTGGCATCACCTGGGACCTACTAGGAGTGCCATAAAAGCCGGACCCACCCCCAGCTCAGGGAGGCAGAATTAAGCGTTGCCTCCTGTCTCCTTGCAGTCCATTCTCAATAAAGCTTTTTCTTTTGTCAAAAGCCTGTGCCCTAGTGTTGGCTTCTATGAGTGTCAGACAGCGGGCCCACTGCTGGGTAACATGGCATCCTCTTGAGCTACAGTCACTGCCCTGGTAGCTCCTTGGGATTTCAGAACCAAATTACAGCAGGCAGCAGGCAGAGTTTGATGTGACATCCTTGCTCCAGCATCCGGAGGAGGGGTGTTTCACAAAGTGGGAAAGAGTGTATTTCAGAGAGGGAGTTATTCACTGCTAGCCATGTCTAACCCCGAGCAGTTCGTGCACCCAAAGCAGTTCGTGCACCCAAAGCAGTTCACCAAAGCCCACCAACTCCAGCCTGACAACTGCACTCCGGGGACGTCTCTGAGAGGAGGCTGCAGACTCCCATAGACTTCACCCTCCCTCCCCAGGAGAAAGCAGCGGCTAGCACTGGCCTCCCTGGCACTGCTTCTACCACTGCCGCTGACACCAAACGCAAGGCATGGGGAAGAAGGTCGGGGTCTCCGTGGTTGGCACGCTTCCTGAACTTTGTGGAATGTGTGCTGTGCCAGGGACAGTGTCCATCGAGAGGAAGTAAACGATGCTGCTCCCACCTCAGTAAAAACTATTAATTAGGTCATGATGTTGGAGCTGGAATATTACAAGTGTTTGCAGACCTAATGAAAATTAGGAGTGGTAAAAGAGGAATACTAACATTTTAAAAATCATAATAAACCTCAAGTAAAATGCACACAGAGTATCATTCTGGTTTTATTATGCCAGGTAAAAAGTGTTTCCATCAGACGCAGTCTTTGGGGACAGTTTTACTAAGGGTTTGATATTGTGGCGATTTTTTTTTAACTGTCAAAGGAAGTAACCTTTATTTATTTATTTATTTTGAGATGGAGTTTTGCTTTTGTTGCCCAGGCTGGACTGCAATGGTGTGATCTCGGCTCACTGCAACCTCCGCCACCCAGTTTCTAGTAATTCTCCTTCCTCAGCCTCCCAAGTAGCTGGGATTACAGGCATGCACCACTACATGTGGCTAATTTTGTATTTTTAGTAGAGATGAGGTTTCGCCCTGTTGGTCAGGCTGGTCTCGAACTCCTGACCTCAAATAGTCCACCAGCCTCGGCCTCCCAAAGACCTGAGATTACAGACATGAGCCACTGCACCTGGCAAACCTTTTTTTTCTTTTTCTTTTTTTGAGATGGAGTCTCACTCGGTAGCCCAGGCTGGTGTGCAGTGGCGTGATCTCAGCTCATTGCAACCTCTGCCTCCCAGGTCCCAGTTCAAGCAATTCTCCTACCCCAGCCTCCCAAGTAGCTGGGATTACAGGCATGAGACACCATGCCCAGCTAATTTTTGTAATTTTTAGTAGAGACGGGGTTTCACCATGTTGGCTAGTCTGGTCTTGAGCTCCTGCCCTCGTGATCTGCCCACCTCAGCCTCCCAAAGTGCTGGGATTTCAGGCCTGAGCCACCATGCCCAGCCCCCCTTTTTTTCCCTTTAGAGACAGAGTCTTGCTTTGCTGCCCAGGCTGGAGTGCAGTGGCACTGTCAGGGCTCGCTGCAGTTGCCTCA